CTTATTTCTCTATTGAAATTAAGAATAATTGTGATTCAATGACTGTGAAGTTATTATTATAAGTAGAATAAAGGAGAATACAATTGTTAAAATTAAACGTCCCGCGAGTTATTGATCACTGCACTTTGACTGCGAGATGGCGCTTGAGTCGGGTCCGACGAATACTCTACACTTTCCGATAAACATTTTCTGATTTTATCTTCGCAATCATCTATAGTACGATCGTAAACATTGTTCTTTTATGGTATTTAACAAATTTTATAAATCAGGATGTCATCCCAAACAGCATACGTGAGTACACATACTTACGTATATCTAACTAAAAGATTATAGACGACGATAAAAACTATGTTGAATTTTTATCGGAATTTGTATTTGCAGCAGTTAACCTGATGATTTGTTCCAGGTATCTGACACACTTAGGATTTTACATATACCACCAGAAGTTTCTAATGAACGGCGTAACGAATTGTTTAAGAAATATGGTGCCATCAAAACAAGGACTCTGAGACCCTCCAAAAAGTACACAATAACGTTTGCACAGTTCCAGTCCCAGGAAGTAGCCACAGAAGCATTGTTACGCTTGCATCAGATAAACATCAAAGGCCAGTTCCTGACCGTTGAATTTGCCAAAAAGTCTATATCGACGGATAGTGGAGAGAATGATGCTGATGATGATAAACCTATGAAAGAAGAGAGTAAAAAGGAATCTGTTAATAGATCTAATTTTCAAACGTTTCTACAAAAATTAAATAGCTGGACAGTGAACCAAGTTTTCACACAGCCACCGCCACCAGATATAAGATACAAGTATTCAGCACCGACGAAGGGTACTTTAATAAGGATAGCTATACAATTGTTAAAAGAACCCGCTTTCTATACACAGGTAAGCTATTTGTAATATTTCAAATGCAACTCAAACTAATAGACTTCTCATTTAGGTTTTACACTTGATGAACAGAATGAACTTGCCGCCTCCTTTCGAAGAGTTGGAAGGAGAATTTCCTGCCCTTAAGGAAGTCTATGATATAGAAAAATATAAAGATATATTTATAAAAGAGAGATTATATGAAAAAAGAAATCAAGGTATCCAAATTATGATTTCCTCTAACTTGTATGTTCTTCATAACTTTTATGCTTATATTTAACATACTCAATAGATGGTAATGAAGAATCAGAAGAAGAAGAATCAGAAATAGAATCAGACGAAGATGACAGTACAAAACCTATCGAAATTATCCCTGCGAAAAGAAAACGACCGCAATCTACGAAACGTTTAAAAATTCCGAAGTTTGTTAATCCTACCAAGCAAGTCACATCTTCAAGTTCTACACAAAAGGTCGTGAAGCCGGAAGATATGTTTGAACCGGTACAACGTGGTGAAACGAAAAACCTTAAAATTGAACTGAAAGCAGTGGACAAATTATTAGGTACCTCAAATAAAATAGAAGATACTAGTTCGGAAAAGGCTGCAGATGGTGGCTTTGGATTAATGTTCCCAGCTTCAAAATCTACTGATGCTGTTGAGAACGATGAAAAGACTGAGGATATTCAACAAGAAGTAATCACATCTAAACAATTAGCAGACAATAGAATTTCAGCTAATGGTAAGAATACTTTATTTTCAGTTACTCATTTGATATCAAAAGTGTTAGTCTAGGATCAATTAAAAACATGTTCCGGGATTCTGTTACAGATCAGAGATTGCTTCCTGTTTTTAAAAAGTATCATCCTGGTAAACCGTCCAATCGGTTGTATATAAAAAATCTTGCAAAGCAAGTTGAAGATACAGATCTTCATTTTATTTATCGAAAATACATAGTACCTGAATTAAAAACGGAATTTGAGTAAGCATCGATCAGAATAGATAATGTATTTATTTATTCAATGTTTCATTTAATAACAGATCGTCTTATTTCAGTTATGATGTGCGACTTATGCAAGAAGGAAGAATGAAAGGTCAAGCATTCATTACATTGCAAAATGTAGAACAGGCACAATTGGCGCTCGAGGAGACGAATGGTTTTATTCTGAAAGACAAGCCTATGGTCGTACAATTCGCTAAAGCAGCGAAGAATTAGTACAACTGTTACTTTTTTATATTACCATTGTATTATTCGTAATCAATGAAGATTTTAATTAAAAAACGACTTCTTATGTTTTCCGACTATTCTGTCTCGTATATAGCAAACCTACAAAACTTCTTTCAAAAATACATAAGGTAAAACTATTTATACGTATGAAGTATATGTACGAAAACTCAATCACATGTAACGTGGATCTTAACATCGATGCGGCGAATTGATTAAGTTCGATACTATCTTCATAAGTAAATAGAAAATAAGCACAATAGAATAAATCCATTGTTACAGAAATATTATAATACCTAATTTAACAATGTTTCAAGAAGCAATTATTTTTATTCTATACATACAAAGTATCGACAAGGGCGTAAAATAAATTGTCATTTGATTTACTCGGTGGCATGTCATAGCCGCGTCAGCGGAGATCGGCGCCCGCCTGGCATCCAGTAATTCCGACGCCTCCCACTAGGGTGCCGTGTTTTGACTTGTTCGATCCCGTATTGTGTGCCGTGTGCGTTTGTAAACGTCCGGTGTTCACCCGTCGAGTTGTAACAAACCGTATGTGCTGTCGCCGTCACTCTATTGCCGTCCCTCATTTCCGTCGTCGATCTCGCACACGTTGACACGTCCGCTCCTGTAGTGCCATGGACGTCAGCCTGCTACTTCAGCATTCACAATATGCGTTACCCGTGGGCATCGTGCTCGTATGCGCAATCCTCGTCTTCGTCTTCGGCTTCAAGAAGGCCGAACAACCACCTTTTGCACAGCTCTCGGTGGGCTCCGACGTGGACCGGAAATCTGCCACCAAGAAACGCAGCAAGATCAAAGAAAAGGTTAGCGCGAGACAAGCATTCGAATTCGAACACCTTACCCTCGTTCTTTTTTTTGAAATCAATTGACTATGAAAATGCGACGATCTATGTTATACCGCTCTCCATATGGTTGCTTTATTTGTTGCGGGTCAGCGTGTATACGCACGCACACATGGCTAATAATCAGCTGATCTCGCTGATCAAAAAACTTACTTACTCACTATCTGTTTTTGTCAGCCAAGTTAATCGCATACACATTGCACTGGAATTTATATTATTGTCTCCATCATTGTATTGGCCATTGTACTGTACTACGCGCGTATCCATTTATTAATACGTGAAAATTCCGTAAAAATGAAATAACTTCTTATCTATTTGTATTTGTGCAAGAATGTTGTCATTGTTCTAAGTTTGTTAAAATAATTCGTGTATGTTATAGAAATCTGCTAATGGCCAAGTTACAACTGAAAAATCAAGTCCTGCTAAGAAAACTGTATCAGCAAAGACAGACGCTTCTAAGAAAGCTGCACCCAAATCAGATGAAACTGAAGGAAAACTGAAAGAAAGAAAGCAAGAGGATAATAAAATTTCTGCATCCAAGAAGGAAAAAGATCAAGCTGTGGTAAAAGTAGGCAAAGAGAACAAAACTGAGCAAGTGAAAAATAAGAAGAACTTGAAGAATTTGTTCCAAGAGAAGCCGGTCGATTTTGATGAAGGTAAAATTTCGTTAAACCTCCTTTTTAGGAATTTATTCGTATTATCCTAAATCATACTAATTTTATATTTTAAACGTAGGAGACTGGGAACAAGCTTATTCTAGGAAAGATAAGAAGAATAAGAAAAAAGAGGAGGAATCTCCTTCAAAGAAAAACAAGAAGAATGCTAAAAAGGCTGATTTGATTAACGAAGAGGTAGCTAAGCAAAAGATTCCAGAAAAGGCAGAAATTAAAGATAAAATAGTTAAAGAAACGGAAAACAAGGAGTTGAAGGAGAAAGAGAAGAAAGAAGTGATACTTATACCTATTTCTAACGAGGAACCACCTAAAGAGAAGGAACAGCAAAAAGAAGAACAACCCAAGGTGTTCAAAAAATATATTTTCAACTTCCATATTTCTATCATTTGGTCATGTACATAATGTTAATAATAAAAGATATCGTTTTTATTCAAGAATGAAAAAGCAGAGAAAGAAGAGAAGAAGAGTGGAAAATCGAAGAAGAATAAGAAGGTTTCTGAAAGTGAAAATACCCCTGTAACGACACCGTCTACACCAAAAGTAGATAACAAAGTTCAGGAGCAACGGACGAAGAACAAGGATAACACCACGGAGAAGGAGTCTGATAATTCTCAAGAAAAGAATCCGATAATTACAGAGACGGAAACTGAAACGCAAACGCAAGTAAAAACTGGTCCTGTGTTCGACGAACTAGGAGGTAATTATCTTTCTGTTCTATAAAATATACGAATTTGTATATTTCAAGGCTTTGAATTTGAAATTTATTGTTGAATATGAATATGTTTCAGATGTCTGGACAGAGGCTAAACCACAAAAGAAAAGTAAAAAGAAAGCTCGTAAAGATAACTGAGGGTGATTATAAATGTTATGAAAATTACGTTCCTCCTGAAGGGGAATAGAGTGAGAATCCTGCTTGGTCCAAACGACATGTGTCATTTCGGACTTACCAGGTGTGTTAAGTGACTTACCAATCAACCACCTGACCAAATTGTTCCTTTCCCTTGTACATAATGCCAATTGGACTAGGTTGTTCGATCAAGTTATATTTTATAGATTTCATGACTACAGGTGCATAAATGTTTGAAGAAGAAATCTTTTGACAAGATTTTTTCGACATACTTATCCTTTGGGTTAGCGAAGCTGCCTTGCATTTAACAAAAGAGGCATAAATCATAGTTCTCATAAAATAGCTACTGTGAATGGCGTTCAAAAATTTCAACGTTTCTAGACATTTTCATGTGCATAAACATGAGATCGATAGTAGTAGTGTTTAATTAGTGTGAGTTACATACATGTTTGCATTCATTTATACATTTCACAGAAATGTTTGAATACGACTTCTTAGCAAATAGTACTTATGTCTTTTACGTTTCATCAAGAAATTGAATACCTTTTTTTTAGATCAGTTTGCATATACTTCGTGCGTGCTTACATTCACGTTATTAACATATTAACCACTGATTTTATACATTAAATGTCGCAGTTGGTTTAAGTGTTGTAGATGCGAACGGTTGAAAGCCAAAACTTAGAAAGTATAAAGTATCACTCGAAACAATAATAAAGTGCAGGACAATCTCTTATAGAGAAAATTTACATTACTGATGTACGTGTCTTTTTCAATGTACCAAGAGAAGATATTTTCATATATTTCGTAATCAGCTATTTATTTCAGCATATAGATTCGAGATTGTATGCTTTGAAATAATATATAATATTTTGCTTCAACAGTATATCAGTAATGAATTTTAAGGGTCGATGTCTATTTATAAAGATGCGAATCTATGACAAAATTTGTGCCAAGTTGTGAAAGAGATAAGGGTACAGCGAAAGTCACATTCTAAATTTTTTTTTCATACGAAGTTTCATTTTCAACAGAATTTTGCACAAATATTTTTTTTATGTATCACTTGCTATTTAACTATTAATAATTTATAAACATTGTTAAAGTTTGCATTGCAAGTGTGAAGTACATGTATTCACAATGTATTCCAAAAATTATGACTTTCGATGTACTTAATTATAACAGATGTTTGATGGAAAGGAAAATGTTGTCTGATGATAAATCTACTAAAATTCAGCGGGTTTAGCGAATGAGGTCAAACGTGGGACAGACAAATAATTAAAGTTGTTTTGTTGATTTTTAATAATTCACGAACAATCTAATCCAGCCGTTCACATTTCATGCCATGTATAAAGTATATTAAGTGAGCATATTGATTACATATTAAAAGCTGTCTGTAAGTGGACTTTGATCTAACGGTTATTTAAACGTTGATATATATTATATATTATGTATAGTAATATCATTTATAGAGTTGCAAGGTTTGAATTGTATTAGAGCTGTAATTCCTTGGAGGATAGATTAGATAATGGGAAAATCTTTGAGGAACGTAAAAAATCAAAGTATATAGTAAGAGTTCTTTGGCTTCTATTTTCTGAAGAAACAAAAAAAAAGTAAAAGTTCGGATAGAGAAATGACGTTAATTACAGTTCACCGCATCGGCGATGTAATGACGTACGGTGACGTCATTTGCACGAAACGATTTATTAATTAGCGTTATATGTTAATATGTAAAGTTTCGATGATTAGTGAAGAGAGATAAAGAAAGATTATTTAGAATGTATGGCCAATATTGTGATAAGTATACTATATACCTGAGCGTTACACGGACGTTGTAAAATAGTATTACTAAATAATACTAT